TATATATTAAATCTACTATTAAGAGATATAATACTTTAATAAGCTTAGTATTACACCTTATGCAATCTGCTAATAATAAACCTAGCATGGCTTAGTTTATCTATAAAAACTAACCCGTTCTATTAATACAGGCTGACTCTATTAGATTTAAAATAGGTTAATAGAATTAACTTTACTACAGTTGATTTTAGACTGTAGTATTAAGATTGGTATGTAAAAACTTTACCTAAAAGCAGCTGTTAAACCGGTGGTATTATGTAATTGAGATGGATTATCCTAGACCGCAAAGGGTTTGACCTAAATGAGCCTCGGAGTTGAATTATGCCGATCACATGACTAGAAGAAGACCAAAAGGAGGGGTAATTAGATGCTAGAAGTCAGCACAACAACACAATCAGACAATTCGGTTTAACAGCAGCCAGGTCCACCATTATAGATAAAGTCGTTCTTTTCAATACAAAGAACAAGTCCCTCGCCAATAATATTGCCATCGTCAGAGCAGCTAATAACATGCTTGGCTTGCCCGATCTGTATATGAGGTCAATAATTGGTAGAAATGTAATGCAAGAACAGAGTCCGTCTGGGCCTTTGATCCGAAGCTTGACTAGTGGCGACCAGTCTCCTATCCAGCGATGCGTTTTGGCAATAACGCACCCATCTTGCCAGCCTGAATACTCCGATGCTTCCAAGGTCGAGATTAAGCGGCTCTACATAGGGACAGAAGGATCAGCTGGCACAGCAGGGTTCAGCAGTATAATAGAGCGTGGAGAATCAGAATAACTATTATTAGATATAATATTCGGATTTCTAAAGCTTTAATAATTTGTATTACATTTTGGTATCACCAGCTATATAATGCACTTAAACACTATACAACAAAACGGCTCTCCACACAGATGACGACATATGTAATAAATAAATATTTTTTCCTATTACCCCACCGGCTATTTTAACTCTCGGCACTGGCTCCACAAGTAAGAACGCCTAATAGCTCACGAGCCGAGTGGAAACAGGGTGTTTACTATACCGAAGTTGGCAAGGATTCTAATATTCTACCTGAGCAAGTATTAATATTACTGTTAAAGGTTTAGTTTAGCACCTATCTACTAAATATCTATAAATTCAAAGCTATTATTAATGGCTTTCTCTTACTTAAGTTTATACTCTTATATATATTTTACAAAGAGCAAGACTTTAGCAAGAAGATATAAATGCTTTTTCATTCATAAATTCTTAGACTGGCCTAATGGATTCTCTTAAATTTGTCATTCTTCCCCCCAGCGGGTTCTGCATTATTTCAATTCTTGCCCTCATTGCCCTCTACGCAGTGACCACCACATTATTACCAGGTCTGAGGTCGCTTCCCGGACCATACCTTGCCAAATTCACAGATGGCTGGCGTCTGTACAAAGTGTACTGTGGCAACTATGAGCAGACCATAATCGAGCTTCATCAACGATATGGCGATATCGTCCGCATCGGCCCCAATGCTGTCAGCATAGCAGATCCTGCGGCTCTTGAATCAATCTATGGTCTCAAGGCCAACTACCGAAAGGTAAGTTGGACCAGCAAACGCAAAGATTAATACCTTTCTCACTGTGTACAGAGTAAATTCTACAATGCCTTTATGCAAATGAACAAAGGCAAGCCAGTCGAGTCATTCTTTACCACTCAAAACATATCATGGCATTCGGCGATTAAACGACCCGTCAGTTCGGCTTATTCCATGACAACTTTGACAGACTATGAGCCACATGTCAATGAGGTTATCAATCAGCTGATTGAACAGCTCACTGTCGGCTACTGCTCGGACATAAATCAGGTCCAGGTATGCCCTATTGCTTCGTGGATCCATTTTTGTAAGCCATAACCGCCTAGTTGTACATTGATCAATTCTGAACTGGACCTGCACTAGTCTCTTTTGATGTTATTGCCAAAATGACTTGGTCAGATACAATCGGCTTTCTAGAAAGTGGTGAAGACGTCGATGGCATGATCCGGACGATGGAGAGCGACATGGACTACTTTGCTACGGTATGACGAAAAAAAACTATAACGCCCTCTGCTGCCTCTGGAACGTAAGACTAATTCGGTGCCTATAGGTTGGTCAAATGCCATGGGTAGATAATCTCATCAGAAAGAATCCGGTTGCGCGTTATGTCATCAAAAAGACAAGCAACTCAGCTAAATTCGGCCTCGATAAGATACAACAACGGCGAGAAAAGACCGTGTTGTCCTCAGACGAACAGACGGATTTCTTATCGAAGTTTTTAAAAGCTGCAAAGGCGAACCCTCAATTGGTTGACGATCAAGCTATTGTATCATACATGGTGACGAATCTAGTGGCAGGTAGCGACACAACTGCCATCTCTATCAGGGCAGTACTTTACTATCTTTTGAAAACGCCGTCCGCATATAAACGCTTGCGTGACGAGATTGACCAAGCAAGCCTTCCAGAAGGTCCAGTAAGCTGGGCAGATTCCCAGAAGCTACCTTACCTAAATGCTTGCATCAAAGAAGCGTTTAGAATGCATCCCGCAGTTGGGGTTCCCCTGGAACGCCTCACACAGTCAGGTTACAAGCTGCCAAATGGAGTACAAGTACCAGAGGGAACAATTGTAGGCATCAGTGCCTGGGTCATCCATCGCAATACCAAGATATTTGGGGAGCAAGTTGACCAATACGTCCCAGAAAGGTGGCTTCAGCAGCCAGGGGAAAGTATCAGTACGTTCGATGAAAGGATAAAACAGATGAAGCGGGCGGATATGACTTTCGGTCGTGGGTCCAGGACCTGCCTGGGGAAGAATATTGGCATGATGGAGACATGTAAAGCTGTACCAACACTGCTGAAAGCCTTTGACATTTCTCTTGTGGATCCTGAAAAAGAATGGAGGCTTCGAAATTCATGGTTTGTGCGCCAGGAAGGCATAGAAGTTTATCTTAAGAAAAGGTCTAAGTAAATAAATATAATTTTAGCTACTGCCTTTATATACTAAGTGGTTTCTTCTAATTTAGTTTAAATAATATAGTATAATAA